AACTTTTAGAGTCTGACCTTGAGCTTTATTAATTGTCATGGCGAAACATAGGCTCACTGGAAACTGAATTCGTTTAAAATTAAACGGAAATTTTTTTGGAATGAGAGGAATCTGAGGAATAAAACCACTATCACCTTTTCCGCACCCTGTTAAATATATATATATTTATAAGCCATTTCTGAGATTAGCGTGAACAGACAAACAGACAAACAGACAAAAAAAAAGTTAGTTACATTTTTGGGTTCAACATCGACATAACAATAGCCCCTGCTATTTTTTTTATTTTTATTTTCAATGTACAGACAGCACTTTTCTACAATTTTATTATATGTATAGATATGAAATGGAGTAACATTAAAATGGAGCTCTCTTTTCAGCTCGTGTACTGTGTTATAGTACCTACCAAACTATACATATTATGTACTACGATTCTAAGTCAGTATATAGGTTATATACGGAATAATTTTAACACAATACAAATTTTAGTTAGCTCGGTACCAACCCATTTCTAGTAGTTGATTAGCCCCTTTGTAACTAATTCGGGTCTTAGTATAACCCATTTATATAAGAGAAATTAATTAGTTTACAGAAACACTTTTCATTAAATGCTGCAATGAACACATTTGGCGTAGAATATCTTGCTTTTATACGACTTAATAAAACCTTCGAGTTGTATTTGTGGAAGTGCCTAATTAACTTGATCAATAAATTAAGGAAGGTTACAACCTGACTCCTATTTGACATGTGAGAAGGTGGTTAGCACTGAATTGTCGCCCGTAAAGTGACGAAAATAGTCAGGTAAATTGAGAGAACTATTTTACTGAACTTTTACGCGTTACTATACTTATCTTAATAACAATAGGTCTTTAAACTTAACTTTGCCTTTTTAGCATTTGTCACAGAACAAATTTGCAATGCACAAACATTCCATTAGTTTTAAGTACCATTTGAAACGCAGCGTGCCTATTATTTATTGCTACGAACTACAAACATCGAATAACAAGACGTTCACTCTCATAATGACAGAATATTAAACGAGATTTTTTGTTAATGATGTATAAAGAAAACCCTTTTCCAAGGGAACATAATTAAAAACGTGTGACATATGTTTATCCGTAGCTTGTAATTAACTGAGAAAGTGTCACATATCATCTCACACGAGCCACGAGTGTCTCGGGAAGAATTTGTGTCACTGCTTCATCACACGACCGAAACATTTCATGGCTTGTCACATTTCCCGCGCTTGAAATTATCACTTAAATAAAAATTGCATCAACAAAATGTATGTAGTTCGTAGTTTTACACAAACAAGTCTAAAAGTTTCGACATTTCATACATAAATATTTAATTTACATATGAATGCGCGTACATTTTTAATGTCATGTTAAACCGTGCGATGAAGCGAATTGTTTGCTTAAGTGCTGTTTATTTATCTCATACTTTAAAAATGTTAATACTGGGCTATTAACCCATTGATATTGTTACGGTAAATAAAACGAAATAACCCCGGGTTATTGAAAGATACTACAAAAGAGGTAAACATAGCTATTATAGAGAAAAACTTCGACACAGTTGTGGAGAAGTAATATGAAATTCATCATCCATCTCCTAGAAACATTTTCTTACAAATTGTCCCGGTTTCAAACAAGTTGGAAAATATTTGCGAGGTCTGTTTCATTAGGAGTTGACATCACGTAGCCACTGTCGGAAGACAATATTTATTGAGAATATAATCTTTGTGAACTGGCTGGCTTTAGGGCAGAAATATTCATGAACCGTGGTCTGGAAGTAACGCACATTATAATACGTTGTTTTCGTCTGAAGGTTCGCTGATTTAGAAGCAAATTGTGTCCTATTTATTGATCTTCGTAGCCAACTTAATTTTTTTTGAAGAAAAATTGTATTATATACCTACCAACTTCTTGTTGCTTTGTAATCAGGAGTTTCTAAAGTATTGCCTAATTGCGTTTATAGACATTAAACTCGTATTCGCTATTAAAGATTCAAATATTTGTATTATAACGAGTAGCAGCGCGACAGTCGCCGCGTCGCAGGTCGCAAAATGCTGCTCATGAATATGAGCCTCGAGCATGGCTTGAAACTAGTCGAATTCCTCGTCAAATAATTACGTAAGTAAACCGAAAACATAATAATTGATTCAAATATTGTTCAATAAAAACTTTATTACAGTTTACTTCAACTGAATATCTAACAACAATATAAAGCATACAAACTGTACAGAGT